AATTGAAAGATTAAAAGAAGCTCACTCTGAGGCTCAAGCATTTGAAGATTTTAGTGACACCTTATGTAAGGATTTAAGATACAAACATGTTTGTTGACTTTACTGTGAATAGCTCTTTTGAACATCAGGTAAAATTCTTGAAAACACTTGCTTTTTAGTATTTTCATTAATCCCTGTTGTATCTGGCACTCCARTTTGTACACAGGTCTTCAAAAATGRTTGTTCTCTTACAGGATTTTGCCTTGCAAGGTGTCACTGACTTGATTAAGAAACTGCAATGTATTAAAACACGTGGAAAGCTAAAGCACAACAGAACTGTAAGGAAATAGGAATCCCAGTTAGGTGAAGATGTGTTTGGCAAAGGGTTGGAGATGCTGTGGACACCTCCTTTGTGTGTGGAAAATGTAWAGAAATCTGCTTCTGTCATCATGGCATACTGAAATAGTTATTTTTAAATGAGAGCATGTACTTAGGAAGCTGATGCTTTATAGTACTTGCCTTTTCTGCGAGGCTTCCCTTTATCCCAGATGGCTTTTGAGGAGTCAGGAATCATAAACCTAGCACAACATGGTACACTTCTGAATTCATCAGTAAAAGGCAGGCGTGGAAACCCTGTGGGTTTCCATAGGACTGCCATATGTTATTGTAAAAAAAAAAAAAAAAAATTTTTTTGGTTAATGCTGAACATCCTCACAGAAAAAAAGTGATGTGTAGTAGTGGGTCTGTTCATATCGCTCCAACTGCTGTGTTGCTCTGAATGAACTAATGGGAAAATTTAAAGGCATTTAAATTTTAAATTTGGAAGAACCTATCTAATTCCAGGTATTTGTGAAAAATCATGAAGGTTTGGTGTGCCCCTGTATTTTTAAAAAGGCTCTTCCAGGCATTGAAAAGTTCGTGACTGGAACTGTGAACACCTGGTTGGAGTCATTCTGTCAGGGCTGGCACAGCCACAGCTTTTGTGCTTCRGTGTCCATATGCAACAGGAGGTGCGTGAGAGAGAACTGCAGGCTTACTCYGTGTTTGTTGGTCTGTCAGTCCTTTTTATTCTGAAGTCTGTAACATTTGCAGCTGCTTAGGGAGAAGTGAATGCAAGATGGATGAAAGACCTATGCGGTGCATATTACCCTTTTGCTTTGAAACTGCCTCTGATTGGGTATTCCTACATAAATTTCAGGGGCTTTGCTGAGATGAGCGCTTGAAGATAAGGGTGTAATTAATTTTCCTTACTGCCTTGTGTTGACAATGTCACATTTTAAATTAAACTTCTGTTGTCTTCAGTAGATGGAATAAAGAGCTGTAATTTTAAAGGGAAATTTTAAACTGATTTTTTTTTTGTAATCTCACCCTATTTTAGTCTCACCCTGTTTTAGTCTCAATGAAGAAGAGAGAAGTGGGGCGAAAGGAGGGGTTGAGTTAAAGGATGTGAAGTGTTATTTTTCCCTTTATCTGTAAATACAAAGTTTTCTTTRCCTGGGGTGGGCTAACTGTGCCTTGGTTCATTATCAGACTGTCTCCTATGGTCTGATACTCCCACCCTTGCCTTAGAGCTGGGAGGCAATTACTGCCTCAAGGCAGAAGGAAGGTTTGCCTTAAAACCCTCTGCCAAGTTTGTTGAGCCACGAGTYTGCTGCTTAGTTTCTTAGGAACAAATTCCCTCTTTATTATGACCAGTAGTTCTGAAACTGCCTTGCTTCTGAGTGACATGAAAAACTGAGGTATAAAATAACTCCTGCCTGGAGTGCATATCTGTGCTTTTATGCCTCTTGTCCACCTTCTCTCTTTTGTTTCCYTTGCTAATTCTTTGGTGCTCTTCATTAATGGAAAGCTCAAATTCCAAGCTTTTGGTTCACTCCCTGAGTGAGTTGATCATCTCTGTTCTTTTCTGGGATGATGATTTTGGACTGAGTGTATTTATGACAACACTCCAGACTAGGACAGAGAAATTGATCTACACATTAAATAATGTTTGTCCTTAAAGTACAAGAGAAGGTTTGGAATCCCAGAACACCTTCAATAGTGTCAATTCAAAGTGGAAAAATTATCAGCTAGTCTTGTGATTTGTTGTGGGGCTTCAGGGCTACATTTATTGTGTTTGCTGTGTTTTGAGGCTTTTTCTCTTGGCTTTTATCTTAGAAACTTSCCAGACATCCAGTTCACAAGCCATACGTCATCTAGTATTAATTTGAATTGTTTTTGCCATGCAGTTGAGGCAAACTACTGCATGATAGAATATTGTGCAGAACTGCAGATGATTTAATTTTAATCAGCTGTTTTTTGGATTTGGTAGGGCTCTGTAGGAATGTCTGTGAAATGCTTTTCAYTTATTCTTTGGGTTGTGGCTTTGTAGTTAGTTTTGAGATTGTTCTCTGAAGAAGGGGATGACCAGTGTTGTCAGTCTGTCAGTSAAAATGTTCAATTTTACCAGATGAAAATGTGCTTGAAAGTAAATCTGGATTCTCTTTAGAGCGGGTTAATTTTTATTAGAGTCGACATGTGGTCCTGCTCTGTTTCTCAGTCCCAAAAAGAGCAATTGGCACTGTATCGGCTCTTAAGAGAGATCAAGTGTTCTTGGAGCCAGCACATGGGACATTTGAAGCACAAGCAGCCTGTTTACTTCTCTCAAGGAAAGCCATAGCTCTTTGAAGTGCCTTCATGCTTAAATATCCTAAAAAGGCATATTTAAGATAAGTACCCTGATTAAGGAACCGATCAACCTCAGTTGGGAGAAAATGTACTCCCAAGAAAACATTTTTGATTTGAAAAACTGGGCTTTCAGCTGAAGAAAATGGAAAAACATTTGCGTGCTTGCAAACTGTGAACACATGTATCTGAAATCTAATTCCATGTTAGAATAGAATTAAGTACAAATTAAACAAGTTGGATGTGTTTGAGGGATCTGATTTTTTTTTTTGTTCTGACAATTAGGCTTTCTTCTAGCTTAAGGTACAGTGTAGATTGAAACCTGTAATGCAAAGATTGTTCTTCTGATATGATTGTATTTAAGTAAAATAATATTTTTTGTTCATGGCCATGGGAATTTAATTATTAGAAGAACTTTGAGGTGATTCATTGTTATTGCAAGGGAAACCTTTCTGCACCAAGCACCCTGTAATTACAGGGATAGGTCCTTTAACCCCTCCAATGATAGTAATTTTTTTCATTGCAAGGCAAAAATCTAAAGACTGAGTATTGTGCAAATTAAACCTTTTTTAAAAATACAAAGATGGGCAAATAAAATAGATATTTTTTTAAATGTTAAAAAAAACAACTTCATAAAATACCAGTTGCATTCTGAAGCTGAAAATTATATGGTTTWTGATTGGTCTGGTTTAATATTTAGTAATTAGTAATAATAATGATTTGTATTTTAGTAATATTTAATATTTAGTAATTTAGTAACTAATAAATCTATAAATGTGTCTTTGAATTACATGAAGTAATTCTACAAGCAACATCTCTCAGTTCTTGGACAGGGTCAGTGAAATGTATGGGTTTTTTCTGTTGACTTTTTTTTTGTTTGCTTTGTTTTTTTAGTTGATGCATGGAAACAGATAACAGATTTCTGTTAACTTCTGTATAATAACACTTAAGTATGAAGCAAGAATGCATTAACTCATGTCTAGCTGTGGAAACCAGTCCTGTTAATTATGTGTCTGAGATTCCAGCTATGTCATGGTTGTTATCTTTGCACTTCCTGCATTGAAGCCTATGCATTCCTTTATTTTGATTTTTAATTATTTTAGAATTTATATTAGATAGGCAGAATAATGCTAACCTAGCTGGTATGAAATGGTAAAACAAAAAATTTATTTTTATGTGAAAATGCTTGATTCCTCTCTTTTTCTAGATGTGCTTCCTTGACTTATGTAAGTGAGCCTTTTAATAAATACTATAGAAACAGGAAAGCTTAATCCTTTGATCAGAAGAAGCAAAAATTACTCATACACTCCCTCAATTTGTACTTGCACTGATATAAGAGTAGTGTAACAGTTTATGGAACCAGTCAGTGCATTTTATAATGGTGAGTAGAGTTGAAAATTCAACTTCAAAAAAAAAATTTCTATATCTTTCTCCACCTTCTGTTCTTTGCTGGTGTTCAGTACATCAGAATTAATGAAATAGTTGCTATTAGTTAATGCCAGGGTCTGTGCAAGGCCAGAAGGCCAGTGTGGTACTGGTTGATCATCATGCATTGTAGAATTTTGGAACATTTGGCATGGGCTCAGCTCGGCTGAAGGGAAAGAACACAAATTTAGCATCTGATGTGGTGCAAGCTGAGCCATCAGATGTATGCAAATCATGAGCCTTCAGTAATGAATGCAAATGAAAATGTACTATTTTTTACTTGGAATCCTGCTTTGCGGTTTGTGATCAGAGTGTACAGAACTAATACATCGTGTACTACTATCAGCTGAATTTTCTTTGCAGTGTGTTTTCTGCTCTTGCAGTTCTCCTGGAGTATTTTGTGTCCAGTAGTACTATGTATTTAGAATTTGATCTGCAATGTGATTATCATCCCGTTGTTAAGTGTTTATGAAGCTATGACTGTAGGACAGGACAATTCTTTTTCTTTTCCTGTTTAGTCCAATCTTTCAGAAAGGAGGTTAGGAAATGCGATTACTTTATTTACCATTGCACCAACCTAAACTAAAGGTGGATGATAAAAAAAGTGGAGATAGTTTTGACTCTTCATTTTGTTTTTTCCATCCCAGTAACTTACTCTCCCAGCCTTTTTTTTTTTTTTTTTTTTTTTGTGACTCCTCCTTGGATTAAAAAAGAGTTAACTTACACACACAACCCTTTCACTTTTTTTGTAATAATTACTATTTTACAGTTAAATTTGACATGTATGAGCTGGTGGTTATGTGCAATGAAGTACAGGTACACAATACAGAAATTTAAACCTTTTCTTTTGCTTGGGATCTTTATATTCTGAAGTGACCGTAAGTAATATTTCTATTGTGTTTTGTTTTTTTTTTTTGTCCTGCCCACTTTAGATCCCTGCAGTTCACTCAGCCCGCCGTGCTTCACTGAGGAGGACCGATTCAGCCTGGAAGCTCTCCGCATGATCCATAAGCAAATGGACGATGACAAAGATGGTGGTATCGAAGTAGATGAAAGTGATGAGGTAGGAGTAAAAAAACTTTACTTGTTCCAACACAAAAGTCTTTTTATCCTTTTGTGTTGTATGGCTGCTCTTTATCTTTCAGCACTTGAGTAGTCATTGCTGAATTTCTTAATTCAGCCCTTTCCTCAGACAAATATGGAGGGACAGTCTAATTCCTATATTTGCCTGAAGTGGGATGTTACTGTCCATTGTTCTAGCCTAAAGGAAAGTTTTGTATGACTCTCTATAAAAGCTGCTACTTTTRTGATTGTTGTTGGAGGTAGGCAAACGGTGATGGTTTAGCTTGCAGTGAGGTTGATGTGGTTGTTCTCTTGGTGTTACAGTTTCTCTGCTCAAAGTTTTCTTGCTTAAGGCATCCCTGGGCTTCCCTGTTTACCTTAGATCTGTTGCAGGCACTTCATGGTGCAAAACAATACCTGTTACAGACAGCAGTCTAGAAGAAAAAATTCTGATTTTGCTTACATTTTGCAGGCAAGTAATAAGAACATTGTGCTTACTAATGGTAAATCAAGAGCTATGAACTGAAGAAGGTTAGTTCAGACCTGCCTGAAATTTTTTGTGCCTGTGCTTGAATTGTTTGGTAGGTAGGCTCCTGGTGGTCCTGGCAAAGGACCTTGCATTTASTCAATTTTACTGTTGGGATTCTCAAAATTTCTGGTAGGAATGGAGTATCTGTTGTTTCACTGGGCTTGTTTATTTTGCTTTCTGGCCATTGTTAGGCACAGGCTTTAGAACCACATAGAGTGAAGATGTCCCCTAAAAATGAGGGTGTTGTCATGTGGTTTTGACACCCACTTCCACTGTAGATGGATGGGAGAAGAATGACACACCTGTTTTGTCATCCTTTTTACAATATCTAAGGGAAGATTGTTCTCCCTGAATGAGTTAAGTTATGAATTATCATTGGCAAATTTAACATGATGCTGCTTACCTTTCTGTGTGCCTTTGTGCAAACAGCATCAACAAGCCCTATCCAACCTGACCCTGAACTCTTCCAGGGACTGGGTCATCCACAACTTCTCTGTGCAACCTTCAGTGCCTCTACCCTCTGAGTAGAGAATTTGCTCCTAACACAGTCTAAATCTCTCCTATTTTAGTTTAAAACCATTCTCCCTTGTGCTGTCGCTACCTGCCTGTGKAGAAAGTTGCTCTCCCTCTTTTTTACACCCTTCTATATGTATTGAAGKTTGTAAAAAGATCTTCCTGGAACCTKCTCCAGGCTGAACAGAGGTGCTCCAGTACTCTGATCATCCTGGTTGCCTGGACATGTTCCAACAGGTCAGCATCTTCCTTATGCTGAGGRCCTGGAGGCAGCACTCCAGGTGGGATCTCACAGAAGCAGAATAGAGGAGCAGAATCACCTCCCTCGACCTGCTGGCCACTCCTATGAATGTACCCCTTGATGCAGCTATGAATGTAGCCCAGATGTAGCTGCCTTTCTAGCCTGTGAGTGCACACTTTCAGCTCGTGTYCAGCTTTTCATCCAGCAGCAAYCCCAAGTCCTTCCTGGTAGGGCTGCTGCCAATGACTTCTCCCAGTCTGTGCTCATGTCTTGGATTGCTCCAACCCAGGTRGAGCACCTTGCACTTGGACTTCATGTGGTTCTCATGGCCCCACTCCCTAGGTTTGTCCATATCCCCCTGGATGACATCCCGTCCTTCTGTTTGTACAACTGTGCTCTTCAGCTTCATGTCATCTGCAGACTTGCTGAGGTCAAGTGACTTGATGTCACTTTGTTGTTGATGAGGGCATCAAAGAGCCCCTGTCCCAAGAGAGAGCACTGGCAGGCATCACTCATCACTGCCTCCACTGGACATGGAATGATAGACCACAGCTGTCTGGCTGTGCCCATTCAGCCAATTCCTTACCCACCGAATGGTCCACCCTTCTAATCCATCTCTCTTCACTCTGGGGGTAAGGATGTTATGTTATTGGCACCATGTAAAAGGCTTTTCAGTGCTTCAGTTATTGGTCTTCCCTCATCAACCACTGCAGTCAGTCCATGGYAGAAGGCCACCAGACCAGTCAGACACTATTTGCCCTTAGTAAGGTTTTGCTGGATTTTCTCAGATCACCTCATTGTATGTATAAYACTGCTCCCAYGAGGATCTGCTCCATGATCTTCCAGAATACAGAGATGAGGCTCACTGGTCTTTAGTTTCTCAGGTCTTTGTTTCTTCTCTTTTTCAACAGGAGTGATGTTTCCTTTTTTGCACTCACCRGGGGCTTCACCTGACTGCCGTGACKTTACAAAACTAGTGCAGAKAGTCTACCTTGTGTTACTGTGGAATATTTGGGACAGGCACATTTCAGTCTGCAAGCTGAAACATTAGTGATGGAGTGTGAGCTTYCTGAGGAACTTCCCAGCACTTTGATTGTTCCTCTTGACTTGTACAGCATTTTATATACATGGAAGATGAGAAAGCTAAAAGAAAAGACTGAAATATTTATACATTGGAAAAGTTTTATTAGTATTCAGAAGAGTTGTCCTGGTTTCCAATGAGCCATCTTTATATGTGACCTTAGGTTTCTTCCTCTTCCAGAGGAAGCAACAGAAGCTACTCTAAAAACCTGTTTGAATGGCTGAAATTATAATAGTTGATGAGGCTTGCTGTTCAGCTGAGGTAATTAGAGATGAGTGAAACTACATGTTCAAACTACACATTGTGCATAAAATAAGATGACTTAATTGTAGCCCTTGTTTCTGCTAGTTCATTTTTAATTATTCGAGAAATATTTAATAACCCACTCCCTGCAAATTAGCGCTTTTCTACATATAAYTTCTATGCAAATCAGTGATGAATATGTATTTGCATAGAGTGCTTTCTTCTAAGACATTAAATGCAAACCTGAAATTAATGAGAAATGCAGTTTAATTGCAAGTTCAGCTAGTAACCTCTGTTTTTCTTGTAGTTATTTTACTAAATCTTTGCCATAATCTTAAATGATCTACATTTACACAACAGTTACATAGTTACCTGATTACAGTAGGCCTGAATATATACTAAATATATCCTATTTATATTTCAGAACCAGATTTTTTTTTGTTCTGTCACAGTGGGTAACGCTGCTTATGTTGATTAAGAATGAGGACTGATAATTAAAAACCCCACTTTATTAGAAGTAAAGCTTACATGAAATACAAGAATTTTACTTAACAGCAGGGAATGGATTTTCTGGTTTATGCTGCATGGTTTTTACTTGGAAGACTCCTGAAGGACAACATATTGAGTATGTTGGTTAGATGTTCATTAGCTTTTTATTTGGCAGGAAGAATGTGACAAAATAGAAGAACTTTCTGCTGTTTTACCAGCACTACAACAGTGTTACAGGGGTATATTTACACCAAGGAAGGAAGTTCTTCTAAATAAGTTATTTTGAGATGGGAAGGTAAAAAGAGCTAAAAATGTTGAACTATTTATTTTAACTATTTTAATTTGGTAATCCAGTTAACTCCCAACAGTGATTCCAGACATTTCATCTGTACACAGTTTATTTTTCCTAACGTTTTCATGCCCTGTTTTATGTTGCAGCTTGCTTTTCCTSTGTAAAATGAATACCCACACAAAACCATTATGTAGAGAAGGAGTTTTTCTAGGATATTAGAAAGTTTGAACAAAGAATTTCTTATTTCCTGAAAAAATGTCTGATACTGGAAGATGTTTGAACATACTTTTATGGACTGGAAGGAAGCTGGTATTTAACATTGGTAAAATTGATGTGGGGAAACCTGATCTAAATTTTTAGCGTGGAATTTAATAGTCATCAAAACATGAGGGATTTTGTTGAAGTCTTCTAAGGAATTTAGAGGGGCTYCACTCTGAGCATGGACTAGTTATTTTTTCTTTGGTTTTTGGTACGGTAGTGCAGAGAAAAGGAATAGGGAGGAAGAAAACCCTATTCTTATTGTGAGGGCTGGCTAATATGAATTTTGCTATCAGCTCTAGYTGCTGCTATTACTGCTTTAGTATTTTTATGTCAAGGATCTTAATTGTTCAAACTGGTTTCAAGAGGCAGGCTGTGAACGGGTAACTGGAAGGGAGAATGTGGTGTTACTAAGTGAGGATTTAGTCATGTATTGTGGGAGGCTATCTGCCTCAGGAAGCATCTGGTGCACCATGGAACGTGTTTTGTTTTAATGATGAGACACAASCAATAAAACAGACTTATCATATGTTCACTATTTACATAGGTTTTTCCTGTTTCCAAAGAACTTCCTTGTATAGGTCTTACATTAAGTAATTTCCTCAAGGAATCTCTTTGCGGTGCTAGAATAAGTTGATGTTTTTGAAATATTGGTATTTACTCTGTGTCTAATGTCTCACTGAGCTAATGGCACAGATGTACAATTTTGTGTGGGATTTCTGGATAGATCACTTCATATTTTGCTGAAGTTTTTTTAAGGAGTGAACTGAAATTCTTACTTAATAAAAAATCCTCTAAACTGAACAAATCCTGTAGAAAACCACCAACATCCCTCCCCCCCAAAAAAAACATAACAAAAAAAGTACAGTAAGGAGAAGAGATGGCAGCTTTGAAAGCATCAGAGAATAGCTTTTAGCAGGATGGTCAAAGAAGTTGGAACCTCAGAGATKATATGCCAAAGTGCCTGACTTAAAACTGTTGTTTGGAGGTAAGAATCAAATTGATTCTAACTTTAGTGGCCTAAACCAGGGAAGATAACTTTCTTCTATACAATAATTAAGCAGAGAAAGTAGCTAGTATGATCTAGAATAGTAGTAGTATTAAAGCACTTTGGGTGTAGTAAGTTTGATGGGGATAGGCTTCGTTTTGTTCTCTGGAAAAATACTCTCAGCAAGATGTTAAATGTCCTTTCAAATTCCCTTAATGTTTTGGTTTTGTCCTTGTCGTTCCTSTAATAAAAGTCCTTAGACTGGAATTCATATTTCTGTAAACAACTTAAWATTTTGTTTTCAGCTGTTCAGTCAAATTTCTGTGTGTGTAAAAATATGTGCTGCAGTGGTTCAGAAACTGAAGAC